GGAAAGATAGAAGTTACAGTCTGCTGGCAGTGACCTCCCCAGCACCTCAATATGCAGGGGGTGAAAGGGACACCCCAGCACTCTCAGCTTGGTAGCACTTAACAAAAGTTCTGTGGTCTCTGTCCTGGAAATATCCACAGAATTTTCCCACAGTTGGGCTGGTTAGTGCCAGGTCCCAGAGATGCCATTGCCTCTCCCACCATCACCTGGTTTTGTTCCCTCCACCCACTGCACCAGTGCAGGGCCCAAATCCCACCATCTCTTCCCTTCGGAGGGAGCGTTTGCATTTATTCCCTCTGTCAGGGAGCTGTTGGAGCTGGCACAGCTGCCCCAGCCTACTCCTAATGCAGGGGTTGGAGCCAGGAGCATCTCTGCAGCTCTCCCAGTGCCAGGAGATGCTGAGCAGAGCTCCACAGCCGCCTGCTAATGGAGCCAGAGCCTCCAGGAAACAAACCCCTCCATGGCACCAACAGTCTGGCCCTAATTCCTTTGGACAGCTTTCCTGCAGGCTCTAGGTCAGGGACGCTGGGGAGACGCTCCGTGCCCTTGACCAGGGCACATCTCCAGCTCTGCGGCACCGCGGCTGCGACAGAGGAGCCCTAAATTTCTGCACTTGTGCCTGGAGTGGGGATGGATCTCTGGATTCCCTGCAGGACAACAGTGCTCCTAAGGGACAGAATCAGCTGGCAGAGGCACTAAACTATTCCTACATTTGTCCCAAATTATCCCTGCCTGTCCATGTCCCTGCAGATTTTTTTTTTATTTATTTGAATTTTGCATGGAGTGTTAGGACAAGGGGGCAGGGTAAGTTGGGATATTGGGAAGGAAATCTTCGCTGTGAGGGTGGTGAGGCCCTGGCACAGATTGTCCAGAGAAGCTGTGGCTGGCCCCTGGATCCCTGGAAGTGTTCAAGGCCAGGTTGGATGGGACTTGGAGCAACCTGGGCTAGTGGAAGGTGTCCCTGCCCATGGCAGAGGGTGGGACAAGATGCTTGTTCCTGGAAAAGCTGTTTCCCACAGTTTAGGCACAGAGATAATGGCACAGGGCAGGCAGACACTGAGCACTCCTGGCTGCCATGGAGGTTTGAATCCATCAGTTTTCACCCACTGTATTTCAGTGTGGGAAGCTGCCCTCACCCTGTGCCCTTCACCTTTTCCCCCCTGTAGTGAATGACCTGGCTTGACGGGTGCCCTTAGTCCTTGGGGACACCCATAGACAGCTGGGAATGCCGTCCCAGAGGCATCAAAGCAGAGGCATCGGGCTCTGCAGAGAGGGACGAGCTCAGACTCAGACATCAATTCGTCTCGTTCCTTCACGGCTCCTTTGAAGTCAGGAGGAGCCTTCATAGCTGCTGCCTGCACTGTGACCCAGCAGCAGCACATCACTGCCGAGCGAGAGAACTGATTCCTGCACTCAGGAGGGATGAGAGGGGAAAAGCAGAAATCTCCTGGCACTCCCAGGGCTGCTTTTACCGAGTTTAAGATACAAAATCCAGGGCTGTGTAAGGGGAAATACCAAATCACTGTGAGCCACAGCTATCGTGTCCTCCCTGCTGCAGCAATGCTGGGGTCCTACCACCATCTCCTCCCACCTCCAGCCCCATCCTGCTGCTCCCAAACCACCCACCTGCCCCCCACCCTAACCTCTGTCCTCTGAGTACCCCCAGCCCCATCATGCTGCTCCCAAAACACCTGCCAGCCCCAGTGCTGACAGCAGCAGGGCCAGTTTGGACAGCGCTGGCTCAGGCCCATGGCCATGCCCAGGACTCTACTCAACCTCACTGAGACCTTCCACCCACCATGGACAGGGCCCTCAGCCCCCCTGTGTGCACCCCCAGCCTCCCTAGGGAATTACAAACACCTTCTGGCTGACACTGGAAAGTGGGACACTGGAAAGCCTGGATCCAGCTGTTCCTCTTTCAGCACCTGTTTTTGAGGTGTCTCATGGCCATGTTCCTGCAGCTCTCATCCCACCTGGCTCCACACCAGCAGGGTGTCCCAGCAGCCCTGGGTCTGGCTGGGCTCCAGAATTCCAACATTCAGGTGTTTCCATGGTTTCATGGATCTACAGCTCAAAACCCTGGAAATGACACCAAATCCTTGGCAATGTTAAAAATACACATTTATTACTCCACATGTGCAATGGCTTCCGGCAGTATCTGCAAAAACACAAACTTGTCGTAACTTAAATGTTCCGTGACGTGGTAAAATTGTCATGCAAGAAAATTACAGGAATGTATTAACATAAAATACAAAGATATATTTACATATATATGCACTGCAATAATTTTAAAAAAATACCCTACCAAGGCAACAGGATTTCAGCACTGTCCAGGGTCAAGTCCATATTATTGGCATTTTTGCTATTATTTTATTACTCTTAGTCTCTTTTTGGCAAGCTCTGGAGTAATAAAGAATTGGCAACAGAAGAAACATCAGGACCTGACCTGACATTTGTCTTCTGCACAAATTCCCAGTGAAGGCTGTGGAATTCAATGGAAACACTTAAAAATAAGCAACTTTGCAAAACTTTGTAACACAACAGAGATAAGAAAACAATCTCATGGCAAGTGATTAAAGGAGAATAATTTATAGGTGCTGTAGACGTTTCACAGCGGATAATGGCACACGCTGTATAAATCTGTCATAAAAAAAATACAGGTATTTAAATATTTATATCCAGAAAATTCCTGTGTTCTGGTTGTAGTGGAGGTGTAACCCAGAGCTGCTAGTGATGCCTTCCAGGCTGGGATTTGGGACCAGGGCTATGTCACAACTTCACTGCGAGGTTTGCTCAACATCCGGCATCAGCCAGGGCTCATCCAACACCGACGGCAACAGCGGCACTGGCACAAGCAATGGTGGGAAACCCCAGCACATCCCCAGGAATCCATTGTGGAGGGGGTGAGCTGGACATGGGACACCCTGGAAGGAGCCACAAAGACGTGGGGCCAGCAGGACCACACTTGGCTCAATCAGCACCAGCTCGTTACTGGGACACAGCGATGGGGACACGACACAACAGGGGCCCAGAGCAGGGACGGGAGGGCACGAGCACTGAAACCCAGCACGGGGGTTCTGACAATGAAGCAAACACTGATCTGTTTCCCATCACTTTCCCTTTTCTAATTGCTCTTTCCTTACCATTTCTCCTCCAGGGACTGGGTAGAAACAGGCGTCAATGGAACCTGGCCCCGACGGGCTCTGGTGAGGTTATGTCCAAGCATCACTTTGGACCAACACTGAGCACTTCAGGGACATGTTCACAGTGTCTCTCCCACTCAGCACAATGATCCCAGAGCTCTGTGTCCTGGTATTGTTCTCGGGGATTCAGGTTCAGCAATGACTGAGGCAGAAGTAATGCGTCCCCAGCACATTCCTGGGGATGCACTGCTGGATTCCAGGGACGTTTCCTGGGAAGGAGCTGTTCCCTAGCTTTTCCCAAGAAGCTCTCCCTGTTTCTGCCAAGTGCTGCTGAAATGTTTTGCACAATTCACCCAGGAAGAGGTGTGCTGCAAAGGTGTGCTGTCAGATGACTGACACAGAGAGGGTTTGGGCTGAGAAGCCTCCATTTCAGAAGCGAGTCAGCTCCTCCCCACACACATCAACCCCACCTCAGGGGTCCTTGTCCTAAGGAAAGTGATGCAAATATCAATTAGACATGTCATGTAACTGCCAATAGCTCTCCTGGCCTGAGAGCTTCTGGTTGAATAGGATCTATCTGCACCTCTCATATACAGGATGTTTTGGTCAAAAAATCAGTGACTCTTCTCATCATTCTGATAGTCCAAACTTTTGTTGTTATTTACAGAAAGTGGCTAAATAGTGCAACGGAATTCACTGAAACTATCCATGCCAGTGGAGTTAATCACCTGTAATTCATAACCTCTGAATAAATACATGGTTTGATCCTCATCTGCTGCACTAGGATAGGGCCGGGTGCTCTGGCTGAGGGATGTGGGATGGAGGACACGAGGTGTGTGCAGAGAGACACAGGGTGAGGAACAGGCTCCCCACAAGGAGAGCAGGGGCTGCTCAGCACAGAATGGGCCAGAGCACATGGCCTGCCTGCACACACAGGTGTGCTCTGATGGGCAGGAGAAGGTAATTAGGCCACCCTGGTATCCAGTAAACAGACTGGAAGTTACCAGGGGTGGAAAGGGTAGGTCCCCTCAGCATAGCCCAGGATCAGAAGGGGGGTAGGTGCCCTCCTACAGCTGGGAAAAGGAGCAGAACACATTTATTTCAGCCCTCGCTCACTGAACAGCCCAGCCCTCCTGAGCTGTCATTAACACAGCTCCTAACGAGGCACAGGGTGTGCAGGGACCTATGGGTGACACGAGGGCCTCCCAGTGTGGCCCTGGTCCCTCACCAGGCACAGCAAGGGTGGGATGTTCATCCCCCCAGGTCTGACAGCACCTGCCTTGCTCTGTCCCGAAAATAACCACGCAACTGGACCCAGCGCTCCGACTCCCCTCCTCCTGCACACCTTTAAAGACTGCCCTGAAAATGTGCTTCTGCACAATTTTAGCCACACAGTAATTCCCACATAAAACTGTGGAAGATGCACGGGCCGTGTCACTGCTCATATCAGATGGTTTCGTACCATTTAACACCTTTCTGGTTTATTTGTGGAAACAAAAACTGCAACAAAACTTGTCCTGAAAGAATCTGCATTTGTTAAAAACTTTTCCCATTCATTTTTGCATTAGGAATATCCAGTAAGGATGCAAACACTGCAACCTCCCACTGTCTGGCAGCAAAGAGCTGTTGATGGTTTGGTGGTGCCTGCAGTCCCACCACACCTCTGGGTGCCACAACAGCTGCAGGGCTCAGTTTTAGCAACAGTAACCAAAAGCCACTCTATAGCAGATTAAACAACATATGAAGGCTCCTAAAACAAGAAAGGTAACATCCAGAGCTGGAGCAGGGGAAGGAGATCTCCCATCTTATTACGCATTTAAGACAGGTAGTGGTAAGTTATATACAGTACCTTCAATGTATTTTACATTGAAAATAAAGCAAATTGAAGGGTACAATAAGATATTCCTGTCTTTCATAACTGAGCAGCCTTGCTAGGCCACTCATTCTGCCTCCAGCTAAACCTGAGCCTGTGATAAACTGTGTCCTCCAAACCCAGGCAGAGCCAGACCCTCCAGTCCATCCCACAGCTCCCCGCTGCCTGCAGCAGCCACGTGGAGAAAGCAAATATTTTAAATACATTCTGCATCTCAAATACACATTGAACCCATTACACTTTACCCAGTCCCTGAAGAATCCATGGAGTGCACAAAAAACATTTATTTGCCCGGAGTCAGGAAAGGAACTGACAGGCGACGCAAGGACAAGGAGGTGCCTGGGACGTCCTCATGCTGCAGGACTCAAACAGCTGGAGGCTCCCAGGAGCTGGTGCCACCCACCACAGACTGGAGAGGCCTCAGGGCTGCTACAGCTTGCACAGGGATTGCTTGTCCCCCTGCAACCTTTGTGAACAGGGAACAGAGAAAAGTCAAACTCCAACTACCTCTTCAGCCTTCCTCCCTGCTCCGTGTCTTCCCCCGTGGGACCCAAGGATGCGGCTTCTTTCCTTGTCCACTCACTGCATTTGAAAACGTGCATTCAGCAACCTGGCATTAAAACAAGTAAAGAAGTTGATCTCCCCTTGGCAAGTTGCATAGGCAGTGTCTTCCCCCACGACGTGCCGGGCTGGCGCTCCATAACCCAGGAGGGCAGTTCTGTGTGAACTCTCTGTCTCCAGCTCTGCAGGACGAGCTGTCGGTGCTCTCGGGTGGCAGCGGGGTCAGCTCGGGTGCTCAGCGCACCTGAGGCAGGTGAGCGGCGCGGGCGGAGACCCTCGCCCGGGGCTCCAGCCTAACTGCTGCCCGAGGAGCACACGGAGCTGCACATGTGCAGGTTGGAGGGCTCGGACTCAGCCTCCGCCTCGGCTTCGTCAGTGGTCTCGGAGGCAGACACGGACTCAATCGGCTGCTCTTGGCTCTTCTTTAGTCTGCAGGAGCAGAGGAACCAGGAGTTATCAGGCACCCTCAAACCAAAAACCCCCAGAAGAAGTGGGGTGAGGGTGGTCTGCAGCCATGAGCGCACCCCAGGCTGCCCTCCCACTGCTCAACAGGGGCCTACTGCAGACCCACGGTGAACAAGAGGAGGCTTCCCAGGGCACGCAAAGAGGTGATGACAGAAGCCAGTGTATCAGCAAACCACACTGAACTGCTCTGAAAACATCCCAAAATGGCTTGAGAGGATTCAGCCTACCCAGACCTCGGCCACAAGCACCTGCACTGCAGCCAGACTCTCACCCCCATCTCCTCCATGGAGCCTCCTGCTATGCTTATGGACCAAACATTCCCAAACTCGGGGAAGCAGCAGTTTTAATCCAGCACTTTCACTGCCTGCTCATGCCCACCAGAGACTTTAACACCTTCATAAAACCATTCAGGTTCAATATCATCAAGTCTAACTTTCCCTGCCTTCATTTCCCAAAACATCATCTTCTAAAAGCAGGATGGGCAAGGAGATGCCATGGGGAAACTGAAGCAGTATCACATACATATGTTAAATCTCAGAAGTCTCTCTGCAGCATATTTCATTTAATGGCAGTGATTAATAATCCCTGATCTTGTCTCCCTTTGTGGGAGGTCAGAGCCATTTTTCACACACAGGCAGCACCTGAGCTCCTCAGCTGACAACAGTCACCTGGGGCTAAGCCCGCAGCAAGGTGCTACAAGCTGTCAGGCACTGAACTCTGATTCCTAAGGGAAGTCAGGAAAAAGAGTATTTTTCCCTAAAAAAACCACCCAACATACTCACTTCTCTCTGTTGAAGATGACAAAGTCCTGCTGGATAGCTTCAAGGCATTCCTGAAGATAGTCATTTTCCTGTTGAAGAAAAACATGACATGCATAAGCTGCCCTATTTGCATCTCATTGCTGCCTGCAGCACCCCAGCACTCCCAGCTGTGTGCAGAAGCCTCCAGATGTGTGCAGGAGATGCCCCCCACCCCAAACCTCAGCACAACAGCTGGAGGCAGCAGGGCTGGTTGCTGTGTGGCTTTCACCAGGGGCTTGTGCCATCCACAGCAGCAGTTTTCCATAAAACACAGATCACACCATTCCCCACATAAACACAACACATTTATCCATGTATCCTGTATTTTGGGAGTGCTGTCAGCCCAAAGGAAGGACAGCCAGCGTGGGGAGAGCCCAGCACACAGCCCACATGTGTGAATCCCTGTAAACACACACAGGGAGCTGCTGCCTTGTCCCCAGGCACACGTGGGTCTGGGGCCGTGTGGGGACACGGGAACACCTCAGTGCCCAGACCTCTGCTGCTCATTTAATTTTCCAAAGTACAGACTACTGTGAAAGACTTTGATCAAACTTCCATAAAAAGAATGCTTGGTTGGCAGAAAGACTCCAATGGGGAAATGTTTTCACCAAACTAAACCTACAGCTCCTGCAGGGCAGCAGGACCGGCTGTGACACCCCCCCCCCCCGAAATCCAGCCACTCAGCCTTTTGCCAGCTGGATGCTACCCCTCAGAGCACGTACAGACTGGGAGCTGTCTTTGCTGTTATCTCTCGACTTGTTCTTTGCAAGCCTCTTCTTCTTTTTGTGCAGGGGCCTCGACTCCAAAATCATCTCCTCCAGCTCAAAGGTGGGGTCACAGTGCAGGCGGCCCTTCTGCAACACAACGTGACACGTGTGTCAGGTACAGCAGAGGCTCAGAAACCACCCCCCCATGGGAAACCCTCTGCTGTCACAGTGGTTCCTTTAATAGGAGAAGTGGTCCTGATACAGATCACTCCTACTCACGTTGGGGACGAAGCCGGGCTCCACGCGCTTCCCACAGACATCACTCCAGACCACACCAGACAGGTACGTCGAGGCCTGGATATCGCCCAGGCAGGAGAAGCGATGCTCAGGGTTCACTGTCAGCAGCTGGAGAGGGAAAAACATCAGAGAGAAAAGCATTGGAGGGGAAAAGCACTGGAGGGAAAAGCACTGGAGGGAAAAGCACTGGAGGGAAAAGCACTGGAGGGAAAAGCACTGGAGGGAAAAGCACTCGTGTCAGAGGAAAAAGACAAAGCACCCAGCACCATCCTGCCTGGGACAACTCAGATAGTTCAGACATGCAGGAGCATTTCTGTTATGGGAAATACATAACTTAGTACAGAAAAAAACTTCAGAAAACGTTCTGGAGGTTGTGAAACTGGGTACTGTGAGCTCCTGGACAGAGTGGGTTTGCTCCCCCCACGCATCCCAGGATGCATGACCCTTTCCTGCAGCACTCAGCACTCTCCAGGAGCCCCATGTCTCTCTGGACCAGTTCTTGCCATTTTCCCAGAGCACCTAGAATTTGAGACCTGACCCCTTGGTTTGGGCATCTTCAACTGACCATGTCTGGCCTTCCAGCTGACAGGCACCTACAGTGGGACCTCCACAAAATGCCCATCTGGGACTGTTTTCCTTAAGAAACTGGACACTCCTAGGCACACTGATTCTAGGTGGTTACAATGTTTTTCCAGAAAATAAAGCCAGCACGGAGTGTTTCTCCAATGCTGAAGGTGACGGTGCACGGGAAGGTGATGGTGGCTGTACTTGCAGCTCCCCAAGCCCAGGGATGCTGTGAAGGCTGAGTGAGCAGGATGCAGGGCTGGGGCACCTCAGCGCTTTGGGGGGACATGGGGGTCCTTCTCGGCTTAGGGGGATGTTGGCGCGTTCCCGGTGAGAGGATTCCCTGGATGCCCAGCAGATGGCAATGCGAACCTGCCGAAGGCGCCGCCGCTGCCTCCGCTGGAAACGCTGCTCCTCGTTAAACCGAAGCCAATTCTACAATTGCCCGTCCAGCATTAACTCACACCAGAGGCGCTTATTTGCTGCCAGCACGGGGTGTATCTTTCCTACAGCAAATTCACCAGCTACTTTTCTGAGTTCTCAAGCAAGCCGGAGCTAAACCAACCTTCCCACCTCATCACCAGCTTCCTCCAGCTGCAGCACGAGGGGAGCACCAGGACATTCCATAGGCCTGCAACCCCCCAACAGCTCTCACAACGCCACCAGACCCTTTAGCCCTGAAAAACTGGCAAAAAAGAGCAGCCAATGTCATATGCCACCCCAGCCATCACTGCTGACTTTATAGGTTACAGAGCTCATGGAGAGGATGGGATGCTGGAAGACACAGTTCTAGCCCAGCTGGGAATCTGACTGTCAGATCAAGAAAAGCCATTTTGCTTCCCTTGCTGTCAAACATAGTGCATATTATTACACAGATAATAAACACAGAACACACATCATTAATTGTGGAACCCCAGGATGGTTTGGGTTGGAAGGGACCTTAAAAATCATCTAGTTCTAACCCTCTGCCATGGGCAGGGACACCTTCCACTAGCCCAGGTTGCTCCAAACCCCATCCAACCTGGCCTGGAACACTTCCAGGGATGGGGCAGCCACAGCTTCTCTGGGCAACCTGTGCCAGGGCCTCACCACCCTCACAGCCAAGAATTCCTTCCCAATATTCCATATAACTCTGCCTTCTGGCAGTGGGAAGCCATTCCCCCTTGTCCTGTCCTTCCAGGCCGTTGCCCCAAGTCCCTCTCCAGCTCTCTCGGAGCACCTTTAGGCACTGGAAGGGGCTCTAAGGTCTCTCCTAACCCTTCTCCAGGATGAACATCCCCAGCTCTCCCAGCCTATCTTTCTTGAAATTAGTAGTAGTTGGTTAATATGCTGATAATTTTCCAGCTAGTCCCATCCACACAGCAACTAACACCCCACACAGCCCCCCACCAGCAGGATGACGTACCTTCCGCAGCAGCGCAACCATCTCTTTGGACCAGGCCGAGGAGTACTGAACACTGACAGTGCTGAAGAGCTGCACCAGGGACTCCACAGGGTTGTTGGAGTGGATGTCATACGGCCTCTGGGGAGAGAGCAGAGAGATGAGAAGGAATCCCCTCTCCCGCTGTGTCAAGTCAGACACACATTCCAAGGGCCAGATGGCCAGAGCCCTACCCAGCCCCGCAGCAGCTCGTAAGCCATCACTCCAAGAGACCACCAGTCCACCTCGAAGGAATAGCCCGTCCCGCCGTTCAGGAAGGAATGGAAAATCTCTGGGGCTGAACAGAAAGGGTAAAATGCGACAGGTCATTCATTGCTTCTATTTCAGTATTTCATGTAAGTCAGTGAAAAAGCTTATGGTGATTTTTATTCACAACTGCCCAAGGGGAGGTGTGTGAGGCAGGGAGAGCAGTGGCAGCAGCAGTGTGCCTCCCCTCCATGGGAACTGGGCTATTGGGTACACACAGGGAGAGCCCTCCCAGTCCAGGCACGGCAGAAAACTGGAGCCCACTGGGGTGTAGCAAGTCCAAGGGTGGGGCCAGTGGAAAGAGAAGGAAGGGATGGGGATGGCAGGGTGGAATGGGGGGGACATGATAGGATGGGGATGGCAGGACTGGTTGGGGAGGGTAGGGCAGGATGGGATGGGAGGGGGAGGCAGGGCACACCAGCAGTGATGCCTTCACCCCAGGAGTTTCACTTTTCAAACAATCAGTATCTGCTGAATGACTTGGGCATGTGCATTAATGCCCTAAATTAATCCACTGCCTCTGCCCCAGCCAGGGCTCCTTGGGCAGCATGTGCTGAGCATTCTCAAAATGCAAAAAAACCCACTCTGAGTCAGAGCAAAGGGGTAAGAGCAGTGATTGTTTCTTACCCATGTAGGGCTTTGTCCCAGCCAACGCAGTCGCTCTTTCACCATCCCTAATTATTGTTGCAATATTAAAATCTGTTAAATGGGCATGACCTTAAATAAAGACACATTTTAAGAAGGAATTAATGGCAGTGCAGTGGCAATGCAGAGTCAGAATACATTTGTTTCATAAGCTTCTACCCTCAGACAGGGTAGCGCAGGCAGGGGCAGATCAGGGTCAGACCCCATGGAACAGCCATATCAGATCCCAAAGCTTTCCCAGGATCTGGGCTGGCCAGGTGATTAAAGGGTAATGAGCTTTGGATCTTGATTTTAAAAGCTTGGAACAAACCAGTAGCCCCCAGCAGCTCCAGCACTGGGCCAAATTGCTCTGGCCAGAAGCTCTAGGAATGAAGAGGACAACAGGGAAACACTATCATAGAACCACAGAATGGTTTGGGTTAGAAGAGACCTTAAAGACATCTAGTTCCAACCCCCTGCCATGCCCCTGTCTCTTCCACCAGCAAGGGAAGAGGCCAAGTGTGGGTAACCAGGAGAGGGGCTGCCCTTGGGGGATCCTCCCTGGCATTACAATGCACAACGTTCAAGTAAAAGAAGGGGTGCTTTTCCCACACTTTCCCCAGGTTAAAAGATGCCCAGTACTCAGGACTGTAAAGGATATGTTCCTGGAATGAATAAGGGAGCAAAGAGGGGCAGAGTGATCCTACCTTGCTCATCAAGGAGGATGTTGTCTGGCTTTACATCTCTGGGAAAAGAAGGAAGGTTACAGCAGGTGGAATCTCAGTCAGACCAAAGATGTAATTCAACAAAATCCTGTAACTTTTATCTATCAAAAATTAGGAACAAATGAAACAAAAATACCCTAACATGAGGTAAGTCCCTTTACGGTGGACTAGAAATATGCTTTTTCTAGGTAACCGGGTGAAAAAGTGGGAACATGGGACTGGTTCAGGCATCATTCCCAAGGAAAATTAATAACACAATACCAGGGATATTTGTGTGAAGCCCTGGATGGCTTTGACACGTGCCCTGGAAGGTTCAAACCCCAGTGAAGCATCAGGCTCCCTCTGAGTGATGGGGCAGGACCAGCAGACAGAGGGTGCCCAGGACCAGCAAAGACAGTGTCACCCACCCCAACCCCACCACAGGCAGGTCCCACCAGCTCCCACCTACCAGCAGGGCCTGCAGGGTTACCTGTGGATGATGTGCTGGCTCCGCAGGTAGTCGAGAGCCAGAGCCATCTCACAGATGTAGAGTTTCACCGTCTCCTCAGTAAACTGAACATTCTGCTGCAGGTGATAGCGCAGATCACCACCCAGAAGCAGGTCCACCACCATGAACATGTCCTCCTCATCCTGGAAGGAGTACCTGTGGGACCAGCAGTGGGTGAGCAGGGCTTACAAACCAAGTCAGGCTTTTCCCCTCTCCTAATTATTCAGCACCTCCCCGAGAGTCCCACCACACGCACAGAATTAGAGAACCACAGAGTTGTTCAGGTTGGAAAAGCCTCTGAGACCATCGAGTCCAACCATTCCCCCATGACTGCCAAGGCTGCAACTAACCCACGTCCCCAAGTGCCACATCCACACACTTTTTAAATCACTCCAGGGATGGGAACTCCACCACTGCCCTGGGCAGCCTGTGCAGGGCTGGACAAACCTTTCCATGAAGAAATTTTTTCCTAATATCCAATGTGAATGTCCACTGGTGCAACTTGTGGCCATTTCTGCTCATCCTGTCCCTTGTTCCCTGGGAGCAGAGCCCAACCCCCATCTGGCTCCCCTCTCCTGTCAGGGAGTTGCAGGGAGGGAGAAGGTCCCCCTTGAGCTTCCTTTTCCCCAGGTTGAGCCCCACCAGCTCCCTCAGCCACTCCTGGTGCTCCAAACCCTTCCCCAGCTCCATTCCCTTCCCTGGACACGCTCCAGCTCTTCAATGTCTCTCTTGCCATGAGGGGCCAGAACTGAATATGCTACTTCATATTTGAATATTTGCACCTTCCCAACTAAGCAAGCCCAGCACAAGACACGGGGCTGTTTTTTAACCCATTGCTACACTAAGCAACACTTCCTTGGAAGAGGGAAGTATCCCAGCCAATGTTCCCCCTCTCTCCCTGTCACTGTCCTCTCCTGAGCGAGCAGTGCTGTGTCACCCCACCAGCACAGATCTCAGGCTTTGCCAGCCAGACACTTCGGAGAAACTTCACATTCTCAATTGCAAATAATCTCATAAACCTACTTAAAATATCTCTGCCTATCCTGAAGATGAAATGGAAAACACAACTGCTAATTTAACCAGAAAAACCAGAAAGAGATTTATATTTACTGTGGAGTAAACCGCCTCTCTAAATCTGCTGTGGGTCCCATGGGAGACTGACAGCAGGGGGATACACCAAAACAACGCTCATTGTTATATTTGGTGACTGCAGTTCCAAGGAAAGAGTATGTGGGATTGTATAATACTTATGAATCACTCACTTCTACTCCCATCTTAATGTAGGTTTATTCTGAAAGTATGAGCCAAAAGGGAAAGATTTGCTAAGTGAGCAAGTTCTCTCCAGAATTTCATTACTTTTTGGAAAAAACATTTGTAATTCCTAAAATGCTGAAAAAAATCAGTATTAATTGGCTATTCTGGAGCAATGGATCAACAAAAGAAATGTGAAGCACTACCCACTTCCATTACTTTGGGGACAAAACTTCCTGAATTTTTGGAAGTCTCACATCTGACCAGCCTGCTGTGCATCTGGCACCACTGGAGCAGAGGGGATAGCAGGGGCTGCCCTAGGCTCAGCAGGTCCAGCCACATGAGTGTGCAGCTCCCCAGGAGAAACTGCTGCTCCTGCCCCTCTCTGTGGAATCAGGCACTGATTCCAGCCTTCACAACACATCCCAGTAGAAATGGGATATCAGAGGTTTTCCGTCACCTCTCACTGCTGTCACTCTTCCTGTGCCCTGGGAACAGAAACTATGGAATCCTTGTGTCCATCACTATGGCCCATGCCCTTTGCTCATGCCCCAGCTCTGTCCCAGCACAGGATCAGCTTGTGTTGTGCCAGTGGACCATGGGTGAAGAGGACGGATTTACTGATCCCTGCCCAGTGTTGGGTACTCCTTCACTGGGTAGGAAGGCAAGAAAGGACAGATCACATGGAGCACCCAGCAGTGGGTCCCAAGGCTGACTGCCACAGACTCATCCCAAACTAACCAACAACCCTAGGATATATTGCTCTACATTCTAAAACTTGTAAATTAATTTTTCCTACAAAATTTGATAATTACTTATCTGGACTCTAAAGGAATACATTTTTATGTATTCTGCAGTGAATGTGGTGCAGAGCACAGTGAGGGTGCTGGTGGGGTGAGGGGTCAATGGGACTGTAGGGAAGCCAAGGAGACAGACTGCATGTTCTTTTGTACTGGAACTACCTGGACAGAATGCATTTCACAAGTATTACCAACTCAAGCTATTTGTTAGATTTCAGCCTGATTTGAAGAGGTTTTTTAAAATTAGACCCTAAAACATTGCTCAGTAACTTCTGCCAGTGCACACACACTCAAGTCATTACTGAGCAACTGGAAACATCACTATTTGTAGTGATGCTGAAAAAGAGTTATGAAATCCTCTCAAATCATCAGGTGTGTAGCTCCACAAGGATGGATGGCCCCCGAGGCTGAGGGGAAGGAGCTGCTCACCAGAGGTTCACCAGGAACACGTGCTCGATCTCCTGCAGGATCTCCAGCTCTCTGAACACGTTGCGCACCTCGTCCCTCTCGATGCACTGCTGCTTGTTCATGTACTTCATGGCATACATCTTCTCTGTGTCTCTCTTCTGCACGATGCACACCTGGAAAAGGAAAGTTAGCAACAAATTCCATATCCTCATTTGCTGCTCATTGGGCTGAGAACCACATGGTCAGCACCTCACCCCTTATCAAATCTCCCTGATCCCTGAGCTGTGACCTGGGACCTATGGACAGCAGCATCCCTGCTCCCAGTGCCACATCCAAACTGGGAGAGCATGGGCTCTGCTCCAGTTACCCACTGGCACTGGGTAACTGCAGCTGCTCCAGAGAGCTTTCCAAAGGGAGTGATGTCTGGGAGAGCTTTGGCCTTGCTGCCTGTGGATGGAGACCAGCTTTGGAGAACCACGGGGCTCTCTCCCAGCCTCACCTCCCCTCTGCTCTCACCCCCTGCTGCTCAGCTCAGCAGGTTGGGTTTAACCTGCTGCACATACCACTGTGCTCTGAAAGGGCAAAATAATCCCGTTGGGGTTGGCAGAAAGCTATTAAAATGCAAATTTTTTACAACAACAACAAACACCTGGCCCAGAGGAATAACCCGGCACCTGTCCCCCCGACGGGCACAGAGCCCGCTGGGCTGGCACAGCTTCCCACAGCATGGCCTTCGGTGCCTCCCTCGGCTCCTCTAATGACACTTTAATTACCCAGGTGCCTGTTTTTAAAAGAGCTAATTAGCTATCAACATAACTATTTTTAAATGAACTAATGGAATGTCTACATCTGCTATAATTGTGTCTGCCCTCTTTTAATTATCAGACACGTTCGTAATTAGGATGAGCTGGATATAATTCCTCTGGCATTTGGGCATTTGGTCGGGAGCAGGCTGACCCGGGCTGGCTCCAGGCAGAGAGCAGGTCATGCTTACACCGTGTGGGAGCAAGTAAAGGGAATTTCCGTGGATGGCAGGAAACCGCAGACAGGTGGGAGCCGGGGAACTCTGCGCACCTCTAAAACGCTGCCATTAATAATCATTTGCGAGTGCTAATGGTGCTCAGTGTAATATCACTAAGGACACACTGCAGGGAGGAGGTGGCAAAATAATAGGTGGTTATCGTTTGCCTGATAAACCCTCAATTAGCAATGCACAGGAATTAACGGGATTATTTTGCCATTGTCATAACAATTACAGTAAGAGCTGGAAATCAGGTGTTGCAATAACTCTGTGCACACCTCAGACCTCACATTAGGGGCACTTTGCAGGCAGAGTGACCTGAGCTTTTCCTCTGGTGCCTGTGGGCGAGCAGCGCTCATCAGCTCCAGCTGACAGGGACCGTTCAGGTAAAAAACTTAAGGAAAAACCTCCTTTGTGCGAACTTAATAACAATAATGAACAACCTACCACAATGCACACCACCAGCAGGATCCAGCCCCTGCCTAGAGCGGGCCGAGCTGTTTGTACATTCAATAAACCAGTGAAACATATATTTTATATTTTATAAATTCTTAAAGCAGCAAAGCCCTAACAATACCTCTTTAAAACCTGGTCGTTGCTGTAGAACTGCTCTGAAAACAAACCTCTGGATAATAGCCACCCAGGCACTGAGCAACATTCTCTCCTGAAGGCAGTTTATGCCACATTATGGCTGGAGACTCTTTAGTTTCTGGGTACTTTGTTTTTTAGGTTATGACTTGCTGTATCTTAACAAGTATAGCACGTTATATTGCTGTCATTTGCCTCTTGTTTTTCCGCAGGGCAAATGAGAGCTCAGTATAATAAATGAGAAAATGGTGAAAACTTCTTTTACTCTGTAATCATAACAAATAGTTTTCTGCAATGCAACAGCGTCACTTCCACACAAAACAACACCAGTTCCAGCCCCTCTGGAAATTTTTGTTCTCTGATTTCTGGAAAGAAACATCATTAATGGTTCATGATCACACATACTGCTCTTGGCAGGGATCTAACTCAGGGCAAACCAACACCAGGTGTCAGTGCTGCCCTGGCTGGGCTCCGTCACTTGGGTCCCCTGCCACAGGCAGGGACCCTTTGTAAGGTGCCTCTGCTCATAGAAATGCACCAATGTGTTTGTGTCCCCCCAAAAACATCAGTGCCACAACACCTATCTTTTCCTTTATGTGCTTCTCCATTCATGCATCTGCTCCTGGGTAAGGAATAAACACCTCCTTGGTCACAAACCAAGAGTATTTTTTTAATTAATCCATTTTCATGCAGGTCTACAATGCAGAGAGTCTACAATGCAAGAAGCAGAAATTACTCTGCCCTTGTTCTGCACAATGGCCCCTTGTCACACACAGGGTTAAATACAGCCATTAGGAAAACATGCCAGCCCTGCCAGGCAGAAGGCAGGCATCAGCTGGGAGTGGATTGCTCAAGATGTGGCACATGAAAGCTTTCATAGAGTCCCAGATACCCCGAACATTCAGCCACTGCCAAAGAGTTTGTGTGCTGCTGCCCCTAACAGCAGAGAAGAGGGCTGGAGCCCACACCCGGGATTCCAGCCAGGAGAGGGGACTGTAACATCTCCCAGGCCCACCTCACTCCACAGGGCCCCAGACAGTGAGAAGTCCTGTACTGTCACCTGAGTTGGCAGTTCCCCTGAATCCAGGACATCCTTCACTCAGCAGCACCACCTGCCTCATTAATTCACCAGTGACCTCGGTGATAACAAAAAAATGCCATATGGGGAAAACTGACTCTGGGCTCTGAAATATCCTCCTTAAGGTAAGAGCTCCACACATGAACACAGTACTCAGAGCTGCCTCTGCTTCCTGCACAGGCTTTGTTTTATCACCACAAGCAGCCACAGAGCTGGAGTCAGCCTGGCTTCAATCATAGAATCGTGGAATGGTTTGGGCTGGAAGGCACCTTAAAACTCATCCAGTCCCATGCCCTGCCATGAGCAGGAACACCTTCCACTAGCTGGGAAACCAAGAGGAACCCCCATGGCAGGAGTTGGGCATCTCACAGGCATCCTGCAGGATGTCAGGCACGGGCAGCAGGGCTGCACCCCCCTCATTGCACTTGGGGGATCCCTCCCTGTGGTGCTCCAGCAATGCTCCCTCTGGGCACTGGAACAGGCACGGCACAGAAACCCAGCATAGCACCCAAAGCTCACCTGATTGTCCCATGGCATCTGAAAATCAGAGATGGGGACAAAGGGACCAGCTTTAATTTGAAAAACACAAATGAAGAGCAGCCTGTGGAGTGGGAACAGCCAGCACGGCTCCAAATGGCTGTCCTGGAGTCAGTTTGGTGGGGGCTCTTCAGCAGCTTCCAACTCAGCCAGGGAAAACATTAAGAATTTCAAATATCAGACCACAATTTAAAGTTTAAAAACCAGAACAAACAAAAACCCCCCACTGGGACTAAATAAGAACAGATCTGAGGGACTCACCATTTTGACTGGTTCATCTTCTACCCCCCCACACATCACAACTGTCACTCGCAGGGGTGCACCTCACTCCTTCAGTGGGACATACACACCACTTACACAAACCAGACCTTGGGCTAAAGCCTCAGGATAAAGCTCAGTCCATAAGACCAAAGCACTCACTGTCACATCACAAACTGTGCACCAAAAGCAGGAAGAGTTCATAATCCACCAGGAATTATCCGGCTCCTCCCATCACTCCTTGGACATCACTTACCGAGCTGCTGCTTACAGGAGTTATTGCTACTTTCAACCCAGCCATGGTGTAAGGTGCCACAGAAATAGAAAACAGGGATTTGGGGGCTAACTGATGTTCAGGGGACTTGGGAGTTATGTTCTTTTGGGAAGTTTTTTCATTCTAGTGTATTTAGAACACTTTCTCCCATCACCTCAGCTTTTGCTGCTCTGTACATTCCCCTGTCCAGCTCCCTCTCTTTAGTCAGGCTTTGCCTTTTCTCTTTTAGAAATCCAATAACTTTTTTCCTGCTGATTCTGAAGGAATTCAGCAGGCTGAAATCGCCACTCAGATGAGAGATCACCTAATCACTTAATAGCATGTTCTGACTTCTCTCAAACTCATTATGAAGCAGCAGCACAATTTGCCTGGGCTCAAACAAAAGCCAGCTGGTTTCATTCTGGGCAGCATCCACAGAGCTAATAGATACTGGGGATCGATCTCCATCTCGGCTGCACAAAGACATTTTTCTTTCTGCATATGCAGACCTGAAATGACCCTGTCCTCTGAGGGACGTCACCGTCACAGCCGATGCACAAACCCACAGCTGACTCAGGGACCTGCCCTCGGGGTCCAAAGTGGGAGCAGTGGTTTTTCTTCTTGAATTTCTCCTTCTTTGGCTTCTGCCTTTGGAAGACAATGCCCTGTAATCCTTCCACACACAGACACTCTATTGACTTTAGCTCAGAGACACCAGGACGTTTCAGCGTACAAAGCTGGATTGCACTTATTTTGATTTTAGAGCAGAGTCAAGGCTTAGTGTCAGCCAGCACTACACACCCACACCAAACACCTTAATCCTGCCCACTTCTGAACTGCAGCCGAACACTGCTCTAAAGATGCTTACTTGCAGTGGTTGCACCTTGCCCATTTATATTGATTTCTCCTCCAGTTCTGCTGATTTCCCTTGGGTATTTAACCCCCCCTGTTTTCCCCAACACCTATAGAGCCACCATTTTACTAGAAAGGTTAAAACTTGAAATGTGAAGCATAAACATACAATTGCCTGTGGCAACCAAAACCATCTGTAGGCTTCGGGGCCACCTGGGGAAAAGAGTCTCTGCTCTGGGGGAAGCACAGCAGCAGCCTCAAGAAGGATGTTGAGGAAATGGGAGATTTGCAGCCGCTGGAGCAGGAACTAAGTCCTTCATTCTGAAGGGCCACAAGCAGTGAGGAGGCATTTGCCATGACATATAAAGAGCTCAAGCTTTTTTGAGAACTGAGTTTGCACCTCTCCGGACACCAGCCTGTCTGCTGGGCTCATGGAGAACATCTGGGGTAAATACCAATCACCCCAGTACAGCTGGAGACCACCTCAGCAAGGTTCTGAGACACTGGAGACAGACTGCAAAGACAGGGACAGGCAGCTCTTCCTTGCAGGGAAGGGCAGGAAGATTGTGATCACTGGTTTCCTGAG